AACAAGTGAGTTAATCAAAGAAAAACCCTTTTTATTTTCTTCTTATGAAATAAATGGTTCTCAATCAGGCGAAAGTTAAACATATTTGAACATGAAGTACTCAGAGAATCCAGTGTAAAGTATATCATTTTTTAATCCCTATTTTTTTCCTGATACACAATTGTGTTTATATTTGGGCAACTGATAACCTGTTTCTGATCTCAATTCATTCTGTATTTTATGAGGATGGGACGGCTCCTATTTTCTCCAGCTTTCTAAAGAACAGAATTCACGGTGTTACCACCAGAGTTCAGTGGTGTGGACATTTCTGCACCTTGGGCCAATGCCCAACTTCACCCACCACTGGTCCACTGACACCTGGAGGGAAGTGGGACTTGTCATTGCTGAAGGGTCTGTTTATGGATCTACAGTGCTGAGCACCCAGGAAACGCTCAAAACGTCCTGACTGCACAAGATCCTATCACATTTCCCAAGAATTAGTAATTATCACGTCCTGCCTTACCCATCTCACATGCAGGATCAGTTTCTTTATGAGAATTCCAGTTCAGACATTCTTGAAGTTCATGGTGTGGATTCCAAAATTCATTGTGGAACATGCCTATGGGTTGTGAGTCTGCTGCCTTCATCTTGAAGCCCAGGACATCTACAGTTTGTCTGAAGAGCACTACCTGCCCCTTTTTCGAGCTCTTGGACTGCAAGCTAGAAAGAAACAATGTCCATCTGTTACCAGAGAACTTATTCTGCTGGGGGTGGGCGGGGGGCTGATGGCAGAAAGAAAAAACTCAGTACAGATGTTGAGAAGTATGAGATACAAGGGAAGCTGACACACATAAGGAGACACTGGGCCACCAATTTTCCATAGGGTAGTGACTATGAAATCTTCGGAAATTACAGACACAGAAAAAACTTGTGGCAACTGCTAACTTTCAAACAGTTGCTCCCACCCTTCTGCAGGCAGCACAGCTCAGGGGAACAGCTCCATGTTCTCAGGGTATCTTGAGAAGCTTTCTCCTAGACTTACATCCCTGCCCTCAGGGGTTTCCTGTTCTGTATCTTTCTAGTTTTCACCCCAATTCCACCATCTTCGGTAACTGAAGTCATGGGGGAACTGGACTAAAAATCACTAAGACGATCTTTGTCCCAAAGCACCAAGAGCAGAAAAAATGTGCATGTCATTAACTAAGTCACATAAAATTTACTATCTCCTACTCACAATGAGAGAAAAATGAGCAGAAAAATCCTGCCTTAACTTCCCCTTAAAAAATCCACCGCCAGACCCTTTGTCTCCTATTATTCAGGTGAAATAAGGCACAGCTCGTTGAGAGACAAACGTCCACTGAGGGCTTGGCCCTCCTAAAAATGGTCACAATTCAGGAAAGGTTGGACAGTGAGAACACTTACAGCTTCTGGCTGCGAGGAGCTTGTCCAAAGA